CTTCCTTCAAGGCAAAATCATTGATTTTACGAAGGTTTTGGGCTCATTTTGCCCTTCTGAGGGGCCAGCGCTCATTAAAGCTCCCCTCTTCTTTGATCCATCCCCTCCAAGATGGCCCCAAGAAGCGCCCAGGAGGCACCAAGAGGCCCCAAGATGGCCCCAAGAGGCCCCCAGGAGGCCCCCAAGAGGCCTCCAAGAGGCCCCCAAGATGCCCCCAAGAGGCCCCCAAGAGGCCCCAAGAGGCTCCCCCGAGGCACCCAAGACGCTCCTGGAAGCCCCTGGGGCCGCCAAGAGGCCCCCAAGACGCCCCAAACGGCCTCCAAGAGGCTCCCAAGAGGCCCGAAGAGGCTCCCCCAAGGCACCCAAGACGTTCCTAGAAGCCCCTGGGGCCGCCAAGAGGCCCCCAAGACGCCCCAAAAGGGGACGAGGTGCCCGAACGCCTCACGCCACGAGGAGCCCGAACGACTCACACCAGGACGAGGGGCCCGAACGACTCACACCACGAAGAGCCCGAACGACTCACACCAGAAGGAGGGGCCCGAACGACTCACACCAGGACGAGGCGCCCGAACGACTCACACCACGAGGAGCCCGAACGACTCACACCACGACGAGGGCCCCGAACGACTCACACCACGAGGAGCCCGAACGAGTCACACCAGGAGGAGGGGCCCGAACGACTCACACCAGGACGAGGGGCCCGAACAACTCACACCACGAGAAGCCCGAACGACTCACACCAGGACGAAGAGCCCGAACGACTCACACCACGAAGAGCCCGAACGACTCACACCAGGAAGAAGGGCCCGAACGACTCACACCAGGACGAGAAACCCCAAACGACTCAAACCACGAGGAGCGCTTTCTCTCCCTCCTCCTCCGCCTCGTCCTTCTCCCGCTCCCCCCACAAGGAGGATGTACAAGGAGGCGGGAGGAAAGAAAAACAGGGGAGATATGCGGGGCCAAGCGGACACACGCCTGAAAAACACGACTGCCGGCATGCTTCGCAAGAGTTGCTGTTGTGAGATGGGCTGGTGGGGATACGCGAAGCGTAAAGAATTAGCATTCAACAACAACAACAACAACAACAACAACAACAACAGCAACAACAACAACGACAACGACAACGACAACGACAACGACAACGACAACGACAACGACAACGACAACGACAACGACAACGACGGCAACGGCAACGGCAACGGCAACGGCAACGGCAACGGCAACGACGACAACAACAACAACCACAACAACCACAACAATAACAACAACAACAACAACAACAACAACCACAACAACAGCAACCACAACCACAGCAACAGCAACAGCAACCACAACCACAACCACAACCACAACAACAACAACCACAACAACAGCAACAGCAGCAGCAACCACAACAACAACCACAAGCACAAGCACAAGCACAACCACAACCACAACAACAACAGCAACAGCAACAGCAACAACAACAGCAACAGTAACAGCAACAACAACCACAACCAGAACCACCACCACAACCACAACAACAACAGCAGCAGCAGCAACAACAACAACAACCGCACCCACAGCCGCACCCACAACCACAACCACAACCACACCCACGCCCACAACCACAACCACAACCGCATCCACAACCGCACCCACAACCATAACCACAACAACAGCAACAGCAACAGCAGCAACAACAAAAGCAACAAAGAAGCGAGCCCCGCGGGGGGGCGGCGGGCAACGGGCGGCCGGCGCAGCTGGCGCAGCCGGCGCGCCTGGGCCCCAGCGGCCGCCCGCGCACGGGCGCCCCACATGGGGCCGCGGGACCCCCCCCCCGGCGGCCGGCCGCGGGGCGCGCCCCACGGAGGGGGGGGGCGGCCCCTGGAGGACAGGGAGCCCACGAGGACGACGACGACGACGACGACGACGACGACGACGACGACGACGACGACGACGACGGCTCCTCGGCTCCTCCTCCTCCTCCTCCCTCCTCCTCCTCCTCCTCCTCCTCCTCCTCCTCCTCCTCCTCCCTCCTCCTCCTCCTCCTCCTCCCCTCCTCCTCCTCCTCCTCCTCCTCCTCCTCCTCCTCCTCCTCCCTCCTCCTCCCTCCTCCTCCTCCTCCTCCTCCCTCCTCCCTCCTCCTCCTCCTCCTCTCCTCCTCCTCCTCCTCCTCCTCCTCCTCCTCCTCCTCCCCTCCTCCTCCTCCTCCTCCTCCTCCTCCTCCTCCTCCTCCTCCTCCTCCTCCTCCTCCTCCTCCTCCTCCTCCTCCTCCTCCTCCTCCTCCTCCTCCTCCTCCTCCTCCTCCTCCTCCTCCTCCTCCTCCTCCTCCTCCTCCTCCTCCTCCTCCGCCTCCTCCTCCTCCTCCTCCTCCTCCTCCTCCTCCTCCTCCTCCTCCTCCTCCTCCTCCTCCTCCTCCTCCTCCTCCTCCTCCTCCTTCTCCTCCTCACCGCCTCCTCCTTCTCCCCCCGCACTTCCTGCTCCTCACTCGCGTGCGCCAGGCGGGCAAGCATCGAACAAGTGGGAGCGGGCAAATCAAGAAAGTGGCGTTGGAAGAGCTGCGCCTGAGGCAGAGGGGCGCCCCGCGGAGGTGGGGGGGGGCGGCCCTTGCCGAGGAGGGGAGGCCCTGGGCAGCCTGCTGAGAGAAGGCCCCTGCTGGAGGAAGGGGGCCCCGTGCCCCCCTCCTCCTCCGCGGGGAGGGGGGCCTCGTCGGGCCCCCTCCGCGGGGAGAGGGGGCTCCCTCCTCGAGGAGGGGGGATCCCCTCCTCACGCGGGGGGGGTCCCCTCTCGAGGGAGGGCGGCCGGGGCGGTCTGAGCTCGGCCGGGGCTGCCTGCCCAGCGGGAGGCAGTCCTCGACCAACCCTTCATAAATTGGAGCCGATCAAAACGCGCAGCGAGTCGGGCCGCATCGCCACAGGGCCAGAGTCGGATCGAGTCCGCCTCCTCCTCCTCCTCCTCCTCCGCCTCCTCCTCCTCCTCCTCCTCCTCCTCCTCCTCCTCCTCTTCCTCTTCCTCCCCCACCAGGAGGGGCGGGGAGGAGGGGCGGAGAGAGGGCAAAACTGCAGCGGAGTGGAACGGGACGGGGGAAAACGAGAGGGGAAGGAGGGGGGGAACGGGGGGCGGGGGAGGGGGGGAGAGCGGTGAGGAGGTCGAGCCAGTGCTGTGTACAACTGCGACTGCCGTAAGCCCCAGGGCCTTTTCTGGCTTAGACTCTACCATCCAAACGCTGAATACACTAAGTGAGACTAGAAGCTGCGTCAGATCCTCGCCCGCCCCATTCTCCACCCCGAGCCACAGAACCTGACCGGACAAGAACGGGAAGCGTCGCTTTAGTCCACCAAGCATGTGGAATATGCTCTGTTGTTGTTACGCCGCGAAGGTATGCCGTGGCGCGCGTGTCGGCGTGCGTGCGGTGTGTTTTGCTGTGTTCCTGTGTGTTCTGCCGTGCTCCTGTTCTGCCGTGCTTGTGTTCTGCCGTGCCTCTGTGTGCTCTGTGTGTTCTGCCGTGCTCCTGTATTCTGCCGTGCGGATCGTCGCGGTGGTCGTTTTGGCGGAGCTTCTGGGCGCGCACGGCAGAAAAAGACCAGAAGCACGGCAGAATAGGCCCGAAGAGCGAAGGAGCACGGCAGAAAAAAACCAGGAGCACAGCAGAATAGACCCCAAGAGCAAAAGAGTACGGCAGAATAGACCCCAAAAGCGAAGGAACACGGCAGAAAAAGACCAGAAACACGGCAGAATAGACCCCAAGAGCAAAAGAGCACGGCAGAATAGACCCCAAAAGCAAAGGAGCAGGCAGAAAAAGACCAGGATCACGGCAGAATAGGCCCCAAGAGCGAAGGAGCACGGAAGAAAAAGACAAGGAGCACGGCAGAATAGACCCCCGGAGCTAAAGAGCAGGGATGAATATGCCCCAAATGCAAAGGAGCAGGCAGAAAAACACCAGGATCACGGCAGAAATAGGCCCCAAGAGCTAAGGAGCACGGAAGAAAAAGACAAGGAGCACGGCAGAATAGACCCCAGGAGCTAAAGAGCAGGGATGGATATGCCCCAAGTGCGAAGGAGCACGGCAGAGAAAGGCCAGGAGCACAGCAGAATACACCCCAAAAGCCAAGGAGCACGGCAGAAAATGACCAGAATAAGCCCCAAGAGCGAAGGAGCACGGTAGAAAAAGACCATGAGCACGGTAGCATAGACCCCAAGAGCTAAGAAGCACGGCAGAATAGGCCCCAAGAGCGAAGGAGCAAACCAGAAGAAGACCAGGAACATGGCAGAAAGACTAGATAACTCGTCATTTTCGGCAGACTCCAGGGCGCTGGTGGAGCCATCTTGGGCTCCTTTGGGGGCTCTCATCTCTTCGCCTTGAAGCACTTCGAAAACGATGGCGAGGCGATGTTGCGAACATCTCAGTTGTTGAGGATGTCTCCAGCGCTCCTGCGTGTGCTGTCGTGCTCATGTGTGTTCTGCCGTGTTCCTGTGTGCTCTGTCTGTTTTGCCGTGCTCCTGCGTGTTCTGCCGTGCCCCTCTATGTTCGGCAGAATCGACCCCAAGGGCTAAAGAGCACGGCAGAGAAGGACCAGGAATACGGAACCCAAGAGCAAAGGACCATGGCAGAAGAAGACAAAGAGCACGGCAGAATAGCCCCAAGAGCGAAGGAGCACGGCAGAATAGGCCCCAGGAGCGAAGGAGCAGGAAAGAAAAAACAGGAGCACGGCAGAATAGACCATCTAGGACGATCTTCAGGGCTTTATTCCAACTCATTCCTTGAGAAGAGCCGCTTCGCCCACCAAGCATGTGAAACGAAATATGCAATGCTCCTGTGTGTTAAAATTAAAATTAGAATTCAAGGCGGGGCCTTCAAGGCTCAAGGGGTACCCAGACCAAAACACGGACAGGGCCAGACGGGACCAACGTTCCCGAAAGAAGCCGAGTCCCCTGCAAGCACCGATGGCCACGGGTGCCGACTCACAAAAGGAAGCAGCAGGCGCGAGCCCCACCGATGCTTATCTTTCACTCACTCTCGGACGGAGCGCCGCGGCGCGCCAGACGGCGGCGCACCCTGCGGCTCTCCTGGGCGTCGACCGCCGTGCTGGCCGCGGCGGAGATCTCCTCCTCGGTGATCCCGTGCGCGCCGAGGAGCCCAGCTCTCGCCGTAGTCGGTCGCTGCTGAGGCTGGCTGGCGGCGGCAGCTGCTGCGCGCTCAGCCGTCGGAGGCTCGCCCTGGCCCTCCGTGGCGGCCCCAGGCGCCGCGGCAGCCGCTGGGGCGCTGCCTGCACTGCTCGCTGCGGTCGACGCGCCAGCTGCTGGCTCTGCTGCGACGCCGAGCCACTCCAGGCACCGCTCCTGGGCGTGTCCCGGCACTGGCCCCTGCGAGCGCAGAGCATGGGGGCCCTCTCCCTTCGCCCTCTGCTTGGCAGCTCGCGGCCTGCCTCCAGGATGGAGCCCCCGCGACCACAGGCTGCGCTGGTTCCTGCCTGACTTGTCCGTCTTGTCGCCTGTGCACCGCTCTTTGAGGCGAGGCTTCACACCAGAGCGACCGCCCAACACCATGTACGCGCCGCACTTGGAGCAGGCCGCGATCTCCTGGGTGCCCTCGCCTTCACCAGCACAGGCGTAGGACAGGGCGTGCCCCGGAATGCTGAAGGCGACGGCGCTGGCCGAGAGGGCGGCCGAAATGCTGCCCGTCGAGCGGGCGCTCTCCAGGCGCGGTCGCTTGGCCCGAGCGCCATCGTCGGCGGCCTCGCCAGCTACCTGGGGCGCCTCGGCAGCAGCGAACCGCACCTGGCGCCGCTCGGCAGCAGGAGGGAGCCCTTCGCAATCCTCGGCCGCGATGCCTTGCCAGATGATGGCGGCCTGGCAGATCCAGCGCCCAAGCTCCCGCACGATCTCCGCCAGCGCGTGGTGCTCGCCGACCGTCTGCCTGTCCACAGCATGCAGCTGGGCCCCCATCTTGGCTAGGCGGTCTGCGCGCTCGTTGCCGCGCCTCTGGGCCTCCGCCAGGAGCCCGTCGAGCACTGCCTGCCGCGAGCAGTGGGCTGGCACCTTCCCCACCGCGAAGACACCTGGCTCGAAGGCCGCCAGGATCCTGCTCCACAGGTGGACGTTGGACCTGCTGGGTGCTGCGGCGCACGCGCGCCCACGCCGCAGGCATGCCACCGTGGCGCTGCTATCAATGTTGACCTTCTCCACCGCTGGCCCCGCATAGTTGGCGAGCATCCAAACTGCGAAGTCCCCACCGTCCTTGGCCGTCTGCTGCAGGCAAAGGTCTCGCATGACTGAGCCGCGCACTCCTGCGACCAGGTTGCCGTCGTCGTCGCACTGGGCAATGGCCCAGCCCGCGCGGCGCAGGGCTCCGAACTGCGGCTCGAGCGCCGACCCATCGAGGTACAGCGCGCCGTTGAGCTCATCGTCGGCTGGCCTGCGAATCCACCAAACACTCATGGCATCCGCGCGGCGGCCCTGCGGCGGCTCTGGCGCGGGCAGCCAGCAGCGGGCGAAGTTCTCGTCAGCGCACTCGCCTAGGGCCCGCGCCCGCTCAGCACAACTCTTCAGCCGTGCAGACACGCAGTCACGCCGCTGGGGCTCCAGCACGGGGCACTCGAACAAGCGGTGCCACGGGGTGCCTCGCGCTGCTCCGCAGCAGCAGCATCGCGCATGCCCCCGCTCCCCAGCGTCAAAGAGCCTGGCCTTCGTCCAGTGCGTGTTGGAGATGTAGGCACCCAGCGCGTTCTGCTCCCTCACGCTCAGCTCGCTACCTGGCCCGAGCAGCTGTCCGATGGCGCCCCAGCACAGCGGCCGCTGCAAGAGGGGGTCGTGGCTAAGCTTCCGCATCTCATGGCGATCTGAGGCACGCCGAGCACCGCGGCCAGCCTCAAAGCCCAACTCCCGAGGCCCAAGGAGCGTGAGATCGAGCTTCTCGCCGAGGTCCGTGACCAGGCACAGCTCAGACTTGAAGTGCCAGCCGATCCGCGCGAGGGTCAGCACCACCGCGTCGATGGGCGAGGCACAGTGCTTCCACGGCGTGTCGGCACTGGCGCGCCTGGTCGCTGCAGCCTCTAGCCCCCGAGCCATCATCCTGAGCGGCAGCTCGCCTGACTGCAGCAGGCCCGCCAGCATCTGGACTGAGTGGCCGGCCGTGAGGACCGCTGGATCCAGGTCGCGCCTCCGCCTCAGCTCGGCGCAGCGCATGCGCGGCCCTAGCGCCGCGCCCATGGGGGGCGCCCCTGCGCTGCGGCATGCAGCAAGCCCCCCAGCTGTGCAGCTCGCCGTCCGCGTTGCCCGTGACCGCGCGGCCCCACGCCATGCTGGCCGTGGGCCCAGCCTTGTGGATCAGGTCCACCTCCACGCCAGCGGCGCGAAGGCAGCCCAGCCTGCGCGCACGGCGAAGGGCTCCAGCAGCTCGCACTCGGCCCTCATGCACCCCTCGCCTCGTGATGACGGCGTCCGTGCCGAGGTTCCTGGCCTGCAAGGTCTCACGGAAAGCCCAGCCCTGCGACTTCCAGTACTCGCCAAGCTGCCGCCCCAGGCTGGGGCTCGAGGCGAGGAAGGTGGTCTTGGCAGCACTGAGGGGAAGATGCTGATCTCGGAGGATGCGAGCCACTTTCAGCCCAGCGCTGCCAAGTTGGGAGGCGACCAACCGCTCAGTGCCGACGGCCTGCAGCGCAATGTCGTCGGCGACGTTGCGAGCGACTACCAGTGGTATGCCACCCGCCGAGGCGGCGCGAAGCGCCCCAAGCACAGGCAGCTTGGCCACTGTAGTGGCACACACGCAGCCCGCCAGACGCGCGCCTTTTGTGCTGAACGACTCGGTGGCCAGGCCTACCAAGCAGATGAAACGCGGGCTCTGGTAGAGCACGAGCAGACCTCGAAGTACCCGCAGGTTGATGCCATGCTCGACTCCACACCGCCACAGGACGTCGTGCCGCAGGTTCCCGTAGAACTTGGCGATGTCCAGAAAGAGGCTGGCGGAGGCAAGCCCGCCCTCACGCGCAAAGGCGGCATATGCGTTGTGCAGCCAACCAGCCTTTTCGCACCCGCGGCCCGCCTTACCCCAGAAGAAGCGGTGGTCGTGCTCCGCCTCCCACAGCGCGCAGATAGGCTGCCTCAGGCGGCTCCAAGTGCGCATGAGCAGTGGGATGAGCGCGATCGGTCGAACTCCTCCATCCGACGTGGGAATGAAGACCGTCATGGTTGCCTGGGCGCCTAGGGGCTGGGGCTGCTCCTCATAGGCCGCCAGGAGGTCCAGGCAGCGCATCTGCAGCGCCACAGGCAGCAGCAGCAGCAGCTGCTGCCGCGGGGGAGCTGGTCGGCGGCAAGGCCCGCCGTCGGTGAGTACCGCTTGCACGCCGCCTGCCGCATCCCCAGGCTGAGGGGCGGCAGTGTCCAACCTTGGACACCCCACCTTCCGCCTCCAGCGCCTGCCCTGAAGCCTTCCTGCTGCCACAAGGCTTGCCAGCTGGCCTCCAGCTGCCCGACGGCCAGCATGCCTGCCAGCGGCCTACCAGTGTCAGGGTCCACAACCTGCGGGGGCGGCGCTGCCCTGGCAAACCAGCGGGCGTGCCTGCCGCCCTTCTGCTCGGCCTCCTTGGCCCATGCTCTCCAGGACGCCGAGCTCTTGCTGCCGTCGCGCCTCTGGGAGCCAGCGAGCCGCTGCTGCCGCGTTCCTGTGTGTTTTGTCGTGCTCCTATGCATTATGCCGCGCTCTTGTGTGTTCTGCCATGCTCCTACTTGTTTTGCCATGTTCATGCGTGTGCTGCCGTGCTCTTGTGTGTTTTGCCGTGCTCCAGTGTGGTATGTCTGGTTTGCCGTGTTATTGCGCGTTCTGCCGTGCCCCTCTATGGTCGGCAAAATCAATTCCAATAGCTAAAGAGCACGGCAAAAAGAACTAGGAATACGAACCTCAATCGCAAAGGAACACGGCAAAACAAGACAGAGCGCACGGCATAATAGACCCCAAGACCGAAGGAGCACGGCAAATTGGGCCCCAGGAGCGAAGGAGCATGATAGGGAAGAGAGAGAAGGGGGGACAAAAAAAAAAACAAAACACACAAAAACAAAAAAAACGAATAGACCCCAAGAGCTGACGAGCACGGCAGAATTAGGCGCCAGGGAAGAAGGAACATTGCAAAACGCGACCAGTGACCAGGAGCATGGCAGAATAGACCGCAAGAGCTAAGGAGCACGGCAAGATATATGCAAGAATACGGCATAATAAGCCCCAAGGAAGGAGCATGCAAGAAAAAGACAAGGAGCATGGCAAAACAAACCCCGAAATCGAAGGAGCACGGCAGAATATGCCCCAAGAGCTAAGGAGCACGGCAGAAAACGACCAGGAGCACGGCATCATAAGCCTCAAGAACAAAGGATTGTGACAGAAAATGGCCAGGAGCATGGCAAAATAGGCCCGGAGAGCGAAGGAGCACGGCACAAGCAAAAAACAAGGAGCATGTCAGAATAGACCCCAGGAACGAAAGAGCACGGCAGAATAGACGTCCAGAGCGAAGGAGCACGGCAGAACTGCTCAGTCTCTGCCTTGTGCTCTTTTTTCGCCGGCCATGCTCCGCCCGATTTTTTGAGGATGTACGCAGCGAGAGCGCGATGCTTAACACGAGAGGTAGTAATATATATATATATATATATATATATATATAATATATATATATATATATATACATATACATATATATATATATATATATATAATATATATATATATATATATATATATATATATTATATATATATATATATATAATAATAAAGGGAGAAAAAACGACAAAAAAAAAAAAAAAAAAAAAAAAAAAAAAACAAGAAAAAAAAAAAAAAAAAAAAAAAAAAAACAAAAAAAAAAAAAAAAAAAAAAAAAAAAAAAAAAAAAAAAAAAAAAAAAAAAAAAACACGCCACTCCAAGAGATCATTTTCGTTAACATGTCTCAGGCGAGACACCCGTTTTTGAACATCTGTCGAATTCGCGGCTTCCCATGTTTAAGGGATGTCTCAGGCGAAACGCTCACTTCTGATGAAATCGATGTTGTGAACATGTCATTTGTGTAAGGATATCTCAGACGAAATCGCCATTTTGGATCGTCTCCAGGGCGCTCCTGAGGGTCAAATTTGGGTTTGTGTTGGGCCTTTGAGGCCCTTCTTGATGCCTTACAAAACCGTTACAGTCCGATGTCACACACATTGATTTGTTCAGGATGTCCCTAGCGAAATCGTCATTTTTAGATGGCTGGCTTAAACCATCTAGAAGCCTTTTCCAGGAGCGATCCCCAGACGATGTCTCCTAAAAGCATTGCGATGCGATGTCGCACGCATCAACTGTTTGAGGATGTCCCTACCGAAATCAACATGTTTTGAAGGATGCCTTGGGCCGTCTGGAAGCCTTTTCAGAAGCAATGTCAAAACTATGTAAGAACAGCAGTTTTCAAGTCGATGCTGGTGTATGTTTGCACTTCTTGAGGATGTCCCGAGCGAAATCGCTATGTTCGGAAGTCCCCGAATCGTTCTGACAGCCACCTTGACGTGCTTTTTGGCCTCTCATTTCGTCATCTTGAGGTACTTCGAGAAAGATATCAAGACGACGTTGAGGACATCTCATTTTGTTGAGGATGTCCCTAGCGAAATGCAAATTGTCTGCCGTGCTCTTCGTCCTGGTCCGCCGTGCTGCCGCTCGTTTTCTATGTCCCTAGCGAAATCGCAATTCTTAACATAAGAGTTAATTAAAGACTTCAGTCGTCATTTTATTTGTTCGAGGATGTCCCAAGCGAAACGCAAATTTTCACAGACGGCGGAATTTCGCAGTCATCAACTGTTCGACGATGTCTCGAGCGAAACTTGTTTTTGTTAAACGCGATGCCGCGAATATCTCATTTTTGTGAAGATGTCTCACGCGAAATCGCCATCCCGAGGAACCTGACCGGGCAAGAACGGGAAGCGTCGCTTTGTCCACCAAGTATGTAAAATGAAATTTGCAGTGCTCCTGTGTGTTCTGCCGTGCTTCTGCATGGTCTGCCGTGTTCCTGCGTGTTCTGCCGTGCTGCTGTGTATTATGCCGTGCTGTTGTGTGTTGTGCCATATCCCTGCTTCTTCTGCCATGCCCCTGCGTGTTCTGCCGTGCTCCTCTGTGTTATGCCGTGCTTCCGTGTGTTCTATCATGTACCTGCTTGTTTTGCCATGCTCCTGCGCGTGTCAAAATTAAAATTAAAGACGGGGCCGTCAAGGCGGAGCGGTGGGGCCAAAAGGCCAAGAAAAGGACGCGCTCACCCGAGAGGGGCCGCCTAGGGCCGCCACTCGCCGCGGGGGCCGCACTGGGCCTTCACCGCGCCGCCTCTCGCCCTCCCAGCGGGGCCGCCTTGGGCCACCGCCCACAGTGAACTCGACTGCGACTGAACACAGGAATCTTCACTCCCAGGCCAAACAGCGCTACACACGGAATGCAACTGCTCGCCTCATTCATCGAGGGGGCCCCTCACGCCCCTCGGCATCTGGACGACCTGCAAGCGGCCCTCGAGGATACGCTCACGCTCCTCGGCATCGGGCCAGCCTACACTACCGGGGCTGACGTCGATGAAGCGGGCCTCGGCCGAGCTCAGGAGAGACTCAACTCCCGACTTGGGCCCAATGGCCACGCACATCATCGCAGCCACCGTGAAATCGTCCAGGAAGTAGAACAAGCTCTCGCTGCACGCGCGGCGAGAGGCCATCTTCGCCTCCCTCTGCTCGCACAGAGCCTCCAGCGCATTCAGCGGCTCCGAGAGCACCTCCCGCTCGCCCATGGGCTCGGCGCCCTCCGCCAGCGCGCCCCGCTGCTCGGACAGCGCCGCCAGGTCGCCCTCCTGCGAGACCAGCTGCTCCGAGGCCGCCCCCAGCGCGCATGGCCGCTGCGAGAGCACCTCCAGCTCGCACTTGGCCTCGGCGCTCTCCTCGAACGCGCCCTGCCGCACGGGCAGCGCCGCCAGGTCGCCCTTCAGCTCGACCGCGGGCTCGGCGCCCTCCACCAGCGCGCCCAGCCGCCCCGCGAGCGCCTCCAGCCCGACCGTGGGCTCGCTCATCTCGTCGACGCCGCCGTCATCGCCATCGATCGAGGGTCGCCCCCTCGATCCCGTCGCCGACCTCCTCGGAGACGCCCACGACGACGTCCGCCACGAGCTTCGCCTCGACGTCGGCATCCTGCAGGAGGGGCATCCTGCTCGACAACGGCGGAGAAATGCTGGACGAACTTCGACCCCTGCAGGAATCAATCTCTGCTCCACTGAGCGGCTCCTGCAGCCGCGGAATACGCACGCAGCTCAACCCAGAGAAAAGCGCGGCACCACAGGTGCACAGCATGCCCTTCGCATGGCCAAACTCGCACGAAGTATCCAGCGACAGCCACTTCGCAGCATAGAGCTGCTCACGGAACCGTTCAAGAACGCTAGCCACAATAACAGAAGGCGGGAGCACAGCAACCGAAACTGGATGAACTGCTGCACTGCGGAGTCTCGAGAACAATTCACCACGAGTGAGACGTGAAACCCCGACCTGGCCCTCCAGCACAGCTGTGCCACGAACCTCCTGCCTTGGCGAACACGTGGTACAAGGATCCTCCCTGCCCGCAACCTGGACGGCGGGCTTGTCCTCATCCACCACAACTGGCCTGTCTGGTGCTGCCCGTGCACTGTCGGGAACTACCTCCTGACACTGCTCACGATGGCTAGGATGACGAACTTCCAATCGAGATCCATGCTGCCATTTACGGAGCTGCTGTGCCGATGCCCGAGCTACTTCTTCACCAGCAGGAACCTCTGCGCGAAGCGCGACATTGCGCCTCAGCTGGTCGGTGTGCCCAGGGACGCGGCCCGCAAGCCGCGCCGAGAGTGCGGGGATGAGCGCAACAACCCTGTCACCAACCTCAGCGTCGCCGACTAGCAAAGCAACTGCCTCCTTGAGGCCGGTGTACTCGCGAATGAGAACTGCAGTCTCCTGCTGGAGCTTCAGGACTGCACGGTCGGCCGCGCCCTTTGCAGCCTGCCGGGCAGCATTCCGCTCCGCTGCTGACTTCTTGGGACGCCAACTCGGCGTGCCCTCCCGCGCCATCGCAAGCCCAAGCGAACCTGAACAAGCTGGCTTGAGCCAAAATGGCTACGGAGCTCCTGCGTGTGCTGTCGTGCTCATGTGCGCGCTGCCGTGCTCCTGTGTGCTCTGTCTGTTTTGCCGTGCTCCTGCGCGTTCTGCCGTGCCCCTCTACATTCGGCAGAATCAACCCCAAGGGCTAAAGAGCACGGCAGAGAAGGACCAGGACAACGGAACCCAAGAGCAAAGGACCATGGCAGAAGAAGACAAAGAGCACGGCAGAATAGCCCCATGAGCGAAGGAGCACGGCAGAATATGCCCCAGGAGCGAAGGAGCACGATAGGGGGAAAAAGAAATAAATATATATATATATATATATTTAAAATAATATATAATATTTATATATATATATATATATATATAAAAAAAAAAAAAAAAAAAAAAAAAAAAAAAAAAAAAAAAAAAAAAAAAAAAAAAAAAAAAAAAGGAGCACGGCAGAATAGACAATCTAGGACGATCTTCAGGGCTTTATTCCAACTCACTCCTTGAGAAGAGTCGCTTCGTCCACCAAGCATGTGAAACGAAATATGCAATGCTCCTGTGTGTTATAGTTATGGTTATAGTCGGGGCCTTAAAAGCGAAAGGAAAAGGACAACGGGGACAGGGCCAGGCGGGGCCAAAGTTCCCGAGAGACGCCGAGTCCCTAGCAAGCGAGCCTCGCGCGCCTACTCACACAGGAGCAACAGACGCGGGCAGACAGCGGGAGCGCCTTCGATCACTCCCAGACGACTCCGAGCCGCGGCGCGCCAGGCGGCGGCGGACCCTACGGCCCACCAGGCCGTCGCTGGGCGCTGGCCCCGCGGCTGCGAGCTCCCCCACGGCGGCGCCGCCTGCGCCGAGGGCGCCAGCGCTCGGGCCCGGCCGCTGCTGGGGCAGGCTGGCCGCCGCCGACTCCAGCATCTGCTCTGCCGCGGGAGCCGCTGGGCCGCTGCCCGAGCTGCTGGCCGCGGTGGAGGCTCCGCCTGTAGGCTCCGCCTCCATGCCGAGCCACTCCAGGTAGCGTTCCTGGGCGTGCCCTGGCACTGGTTGTTGCGAGTGCAAGGCAGGGATGCCCTCTGCTCTCGCCATCTGCTTGTCCGCCCGAGCCCGGCCACCAGGATGGGGCCCTCGCTCCCGCAGGCTGCGCTGGTTCATCGACTTGTTGGTCAGGTAGCTGGGCCCTGGGCACTGCGCCTCCAGGCGAGACTTGCCTCCTCCGTGGCTGCCCAGCACTTTGTAGGCGCCACGCTTGGTGCACGCCGCGATCTCCTGGGCATCCTCTCCTTCGCCCGCGCAGGCGTAGCTGAGCACGTGCCCCAGGACGCTGAAAGCGACAGCGGTGGCCGAGAGGGCGGCCGCGCTGCCCCCCGTCGAGCGGCTGTCCTCCAGGCGGGCCCGCGCAGCTGGAGCGCCGCCGCCGTGGGCCTCCCCAGCCTGCAGGGCCTCCAATGCCGCCGCTGAAGTCACCTGGTTGACCCCGTCAGCGGGAAGGAGCCCTCTGCTGCTCGCGGCCCAGCCTGCGACGTACTGCTCGCTGTCGAGTTCGCCGTCGCCTCCTCATCGAGCTCGCCGCTCCGTCACGTTCTCCTCGACTCCTGGCCTGAACCGCAACTCGATGATGTCCCCGCGAGACTGCCGAAGCGAGCGGGGCCTGCTGGAGGGGTCCCGTCTCACGCGGCGGTAGAAGGCCAGCTGAGCAGACGCGCTTGCCCCCGATGACCTCGCCCGCGGCTCGAGGAACATGGGGTCGGACGTGCCGCCGAGGTCCATGACCATGCACCTCTCCGACTCGATCGAGGTGCCAGTCGCTGATCCACTGGGCCCGCACCACAGCGCAGACGGGCGATGCACGGTTCACGCCTGCGGCGGCTGCACCGCCCCTGGCTGCCGCCCCTATCACGCCCCTGAGCTCGCGCTCTGAGTGGCTGCTCGGTAGGCAGCTGCAGATCCACGCCCCTGGCCATCGTCTCAGGAGGTCCAGGTGCCCCTGCTCTGCCCACGGGGTCGCTCCACTCGCTAGTGCCGAACCCGATGGCCCCAACTACGTTCTCTCCAGTGCCCAGGAGGATGTGGACACAGCTGGGCCCTGCAGCGCGCTCCTGGCCCCAGGGCGGGTCGCGGGCGCCCATGCCGCGGAGCCCCGCCATATCGCTCTCGACGATCTCGGTGCCGCTCTCATGCGGGCGCAGGCCCGCCGCACAGGCCTCGCTAGGCACTCGCTGGCCCTGGCTGTGCCCCTCCGACGCGGCCCCCAGCGGCCCTGCCAGCAGGATGAGCAGCCAGGGGAGCCAAGTCCGCTGCCTCTGCCGCCAGCCCCCGCTTGCACGCCTGGGCCACCGTTGGCCACTCGCCCAGCGCCTTGCCGCACCGTTCGGCTTGGCCTCGCTCCGCTGCTGGCTGGGGCTGCCAGACGCCGCCGCCGTCCGCGAGATCGCCATCGTCGCTGCTGATCTCCTCCATGGGGCAGGACTCAGCCCACGGCGTGCGCTTGGAGGCCACTGGGCCCCCCCCCCTCGAGCTGCGCCCGCACTGCCTCCATCTGGGCGCGAATGGCAGCCCAGGCCACCTCGAAGTGGCTGGTGCTCCACGCCGCAGGCAACTTCTCCAGCTGCATGAGGAGCCCTGGTACATGGCTGGCCCCCGTCCACTCGGCTGCGCGCTGGCGGCGCAGCGCCTCGGCTTCCTCACGGGCTGCCTCCTCGAGCACCTGGAGCGCCAGGCTCGCCTCCCCCACCTCCTCGTCGAGCTCCGCGAGCTTCTCCTGGGCCTTGTGGAGCTGGGCCTCGACGAGGTCGCGCGCCTCCTGCTTCTGCTCGAGCTCCAGGCGGGCTGCCCGGAGCCGTTTCTCGCCCTTGCTGATGGCGTTCGCCTCCCTGTGGAGCCGCATCGCCCGTGGCAGGGACGAGGCCTTCTGCTCCGCTGCTGCCATTCGGGCCTTGACCAGCTCGGCACGCTTCGCCTCCAGCTGGTTGGCCACGACGTCGGTGAAGCAGCCGTCCACTCCGTCCGGGGGCTCGGCCTGAAGCGCCTCGAGCTGCTCGACTGCCGCCTGGAGCCTCTCGATCGCCGTGGCGCCTCCACCGCTGGGCGTCCCACTTGCTGCCGACGCCGAGGCCTGCGACTTGGTGGATGCTGCCCGCGAGGCCGCGCCGCGGGCCTGCCTCTGGGCACGGCGCCCTCGTGGCTGATCCACCCAGCCGTCCTTGTCTGCCTTGGGCCTCGGCTTGGGCGGGGGCGCCCCCGTCGCCCATGGCGGGGCCGCATACCCACAGCCCAGGCAAGAGGTGCGCCAGTCCCAGTTCCACCCGCCGCGGCTGCACATCCAGTAGGACTTGCTGCGCCTGCTGCTGCCGCCACCGCACGGGGACCTCGCCATGGCCACTGCCGCGCTGGCCGCGGGGCTGCGCCTCCGCGCCGTGAAAGCAGGGAGCACAAACTCGAATTGCATTGGCCCAAAGCGCGGAGACCCTCGCGCTCAGAGCGCCGCGAACGACTCGCGGTCGTCGGGTTTTCCATGGCCTTGAGCCAAAATGGTTACGGAATGTTCCTGTGTGTTCTGCCGTGCTCCTGCGTGGTCTGCCGTGTTCCTGTGTGTTCGGTCGTGCTCCTGTGCATTCTGCCGCGCTCTCGTGTGTTCTGCCATGCTCCTACTTGTTCTGCCATGCTCCTGCGCGTGCTGCCGTGCTCCTGTGTGTTTTGCCGTGTTCCCGTGTTTTCTGTCTGTTTTGCCGTGTTCGTGCGTGTTCTGCCGTGCCCCTCTATGTTCGGCAAAATCAATTCCAAGAGCTGAGGAGCACGGCAAAAAGAACTAGGAATACGAACCTCAATCGCAAAGGACCACGGCCAAACAAGACAAAGCGCACGGCAGAATAGACCCCAAGACCGAAGGAGCACGGCAAATTAGGCCCCAGGAGCGAAGGAGCATGATAGAAAAAAAAACAAGAGCACGACAGAATAGACCCCAAGAGCTGAGGAGCACGGCAGAATAGGCGCCAGGAAAGAAGGAACATTGCAAAACGCGACCAGTGACCAGGAGCATGGCAGAATAGACCGCATGAGCTAAGGAGCACGGCAAGATAGATGCAAGAATACGGCATAATACGCCCCAAGGAAGGAGTATGCAAGAAAAAGACAAGGAGCACGGCAGAATAAACCCCGAAAGCGAAGGAGCACGGCAGAATATGCCCCAAGAGCCAAGGAGCACGGCAGAAAACGACCAGGAGCACGGCATCATAAGCCCCAAGAACAAAGGATTGTGACAGAAAATGGCCAAGAGCATGGCAGAATAGGCCCGAAGAGCGAAGGAGCACAGGACAAAAAAAAAGCAATGAGCATTTCAGAATAAACCCCGGGAACGAAAGAGCACGGCAGAATAGACGTCAAGAGCGAAGGAGCACGGCAGAACTGCTCATTCTCTGCCTTGCTCATTTTTCGCCGGCCATGCTCCGCCCGATGTTTGTTGAGGATGTATGCAGCGAGAGCGTGATGTTTAACACGAGAGGTAGTAAAAACGCCACTCCAAGACATCATGTTTGTTAGGATGTCTCAGGCGAGACGCTAGTTTTTGAACATCTGTCGAATTCGCGGCTTCCCATGTTTAATGGACGTCTCAGGCGAAACGCTCATTTTTGATGAAATCGACGTTGTGAACATTTCATGTGTGTAAGGATGTCTCAGGCGAAATCGCAATTTTGGATCGTCTCGAGGGCGCTCCTGGGGGTCAAATTTGGGCTTGTTTGGGGCATTTGGTGGCCTTCTTGATGCCTTACAAAACCGTTACAGTCCGATGTTACACACATTCATTTGTTCAGGATGTCCCTAGCGAAATCGTCATTTTTAGATGACTGGCTTAAGCCATCTAGAAGCCTTTTCAGGAGCGATCCCAAGACGATGTTAAAACAGCAGTTTTCAAAACGATGTTGTTCGATTTGTTATTTTGTTGAAGATGCCCCGAACGAAATCACTATTTTCAGCAACCTTAAGGGCGCTCTTGGAGCCATGTTGTGGCCTTCTGTTGCTTCCTGATGCCCTCCTAAAATCATTACGATGCGATGTCGCACGCATCAATTGTTTGAGGATGTCCCTACCGAAATCGACATTGTTTGAAGGCTGCCTTGGGCCGTCTGGAAGCCTTTTCAGAAGCAAAGTCAAAACTATGTAAGAACAACAGTTTTCAAGTCGATGCTGGTGTATGTTTTCACTTGTTGAGGATGTCCCTAGCGAAATCGCTATTTTCGGAAGTCCCACAATCGTTCTGACAGCCATCTTGACGTGCTTTTTGGACTCTCATTTCGTCATCTTGAGGTACTTCGAGAACGATATCAAGACGACGTTGAGGACATCTTATTTGGTTGAGGATGTCCCTAGCGAAATGCAAATGTTCTGCCGTGCTCTTCGTTCTGGTCCGCCGTGCTGCCGCTCGTTTTCTGAGGATGTCCCTAGCGAAATCGCAATTCTTAACATAAGAGTCAGTTAAAGACTTCAGTCGTCATCTCATTTTTTCGAGGATGCCCCAAGCGAAACGCAAAGTTTCACAGACGGCGAAAGTTCGCTGTCATCAACGTTTCGAAGATGTCTCGAGCGAAACGCTTGTTTTTGTTAAACGCGATGTCGCGAAGATCTCATTTTTGTGAGGATGTCTCACGTAAAATCGCCATCCCGAGGAATCCGCTAAGCCTGTATACTGTGCGCCCCGCCACCCCCTATAGTTAAGAGATCTCTTACTGATATGAAGAGGATTCAGCCAAAACGTCCAGCTCGCTTCTCGTTCCTCGAAGACGCTTCCCGTCATCCGCTAAGCCTCCATACCGTGCACCCCGCCACCCCCTATAGTTAAGAGATCTCTTACTGATATGAAGAGGATTCAGCCAAAACGTCCAGCTCGCTTCTCGTTCCTCGAAAACGCTTCCCGTCATCCGCCAGCCCCAGTGTGGGGTTCTGTGCGTCCCGCACGAGCTCTAGTTTCCAGTTCCCCATGTGGTTGCACGACTTTCTACCTCCTACTGAAAACTGTTCTTGTCCGCGCGAGGGGTGGAGCCGAAAACCACCCTGGCCACCACGCCCGACTCGCGTTCCCCGAATGTCTGGTAGGCAAATAAAAAAGACTCGCGCACCCGAAGCAATCATTCTTCGTAGGGTATGCAAGATTCGCGCTCCCGATGCCAGAATGTAGTCTATAATACTCCAAACTCGTGCTCCCGAGGCCCGAATATCTTGTAAATTACGCCATCCCCGTGCTCCCGAAGCCAGAATCCTCCCTCGGTTACCCCAATTTCGCGCTCCGGAAACCCGAATCCCTGATAAATTACCAGGGATTCGCATTCCCGAAAGTTCGCGATCCCGAAACCAGAATCCTAAGCAAAATGCGCCAGATTCGCGCTCCCGAGGTCAGAATCGTTTGTTGTAAATTAGGCCTGCGTCGCGCTCTGAGAGGGAAACATCTGCCACCGTGCCTCTGGGCTCGGAGTGGGCGTGTCCTCAGGTCCTTTGCCTAATCCCTGCAGCCTCAGTCCTCGGTCCTGCGGAGTCTTCAGAAAGGGCCCGGACCCCACATTCTCAAATCTCCGAGGGCTTCCCGCGGTTCCCCTGGGTTCCCCCACATCTTGTCGCGTGACTTGTTCGGGCCCAAGAAGGCCCCAAGACGGGCGAGAGAGCCTCAAGAGGCCCCCCAAGACGGTCCAAGAGGGCCCCGAGTCGCGGAAAGATCGCCCCAAGACACGCAAGACGGCCTCCAGAAGGCCCAAGGGGCCCTCAAGGCGCCCCAAGAGGCCTCGAAGAAACCGCCCAAGAGAGCTCCGAGAGGCAAAAATTATGGATGTGCCTTCGGTATTGAAAGAATTGTGGCCTTCTCGCCTTTTCGGCTTCTCGACGCCCTCCCC